CAGATCCAGAGAACTGGACCAGTTCCCAGATGGTTCAGATCCAGATCCAGAGAACTGGACCGGTTCTCAGGCCTCAGGATTTCGTTCGTATCTAATAAAAACCTCTTTGCCCTCCAGGACTCAGAGGACAGTTTTCCCAAAACGCCTCCAGCTGAGATGACAGAAACAGAACCCGTAAACAGTTATATTTAGTTCACAGCTGCTTAAATCATGAAGCCAACCAACACATTTGTTCTAAACCAAAAAATCTCTTGCTGAAAATAATAAAAAATAATATTTTTTTACGCCGAATTCTGCCTGCACTTCTCACATCTGTCCACCAGAGGGCGCCACCTTCTGCCGAAAGCAGGCAAACAAGGCAGAAAATCGTTCAGCCTTCTGTTTAATTCAGTTTAGGTTGTGAATTGTTATTTCAGACCTTTTTCCATCCAATCTGATTTTGGAATCAGAGACTTTGCCTAAATAAATCAAAAGAAATCAGAATATCTGAAATGTAAACTCTGAATTTCTGCTTTTCTCCTCCAGAATCAGCTCTGGTTTTACACAAAAATTATGGAAAGACCTCAGTTTATCCTCAAGAAGCTAAAGATAATCCCACAATTTAATTCAGGAATCAGATAAATGACTGAGATAAATCTAAATATATCAGAATATCTGAATTCCTGCTTTTCTCCTCCAGAAGCAGCTCTGATTTCTTCTAAATGAACTCTGTTCCAGCAGATGTTCCAGACAGAAGCAGAAACAGGAGTTCAGGAGCTGAAACAGACTCAGTTTAACCTGAGAGACAAAATGAGGCTGAAAGTGTCTCACTGCTCAGTTTGATGAAGAATCCTCTGAAAACAGGAGCTGATTTTACACTAAAATGATGGAAAGACCTCAGTTTTTACAACAGAAGATGAAAGAATCTCACAATTTAATCTGTGAACCAGATGAATTACAACAATAAATCAGAATATTAAACTTTCTGCTTTCTGCCTCCAGAACCAAATCTGTGAACTGAGAAGTGAAATATTTTCTGACTTTCTTCCAGAATACGACACAAATTTGTTTCTGATTTGAACATTTATTTAATTTTTTTTACACTTTTGACACTCAGATATGACACTAAACGTTCATATGTGTAATAAAATACTCTACAAAACCTTATTTTTGATACTCTATGTATGGAAAAGAAGACAAACCACAAATATCCTCCTAAAAAAATCAACCCACACTCGTGTTTTTTGTGTTAGAAAACACTGAAGCCTAGTAGCTAGATTGAAGACAAATGAAATGTCCACTTTTGACCACTGACTTTTGATTGCATTTTCTTTTCCTCCCTGCTTCATCTCAGCCCATTGAAAATTTTACTTCTCAGTTTTGTTTTGTGGTCTTTTCTGTTTATTTATTTGTGTTGTACTTGCTGCTCTCTCTTTTTTAATTGTCTATATACTTTTTTATTAACATTTTTTTATATGGTAAGAAGGAAGGATGTGGGTTATTACTGATCTGTAGCATAATCTTGTAGGATTGGGGGGGGGCTGGGGAAGGGAAGGGAATGAGGGGTTGTTGTTTTTGTAAAAATGAAAAAAAAATCCTTATTTTCATTATTTTCATTGTTTGTACTTGACCTTGTCATGTGAATAAAAGCATGAATAAAAAAGCTGAGCCATGGTTCTGCTCCAGGTTTCTGCCTGTTAAAGGAAGTT